GTAGTTACATTGTGTGTGTGTGTGTGTGTGTGTGTGTGTGTGTGTGTGTGTTTAAATATATTTTAGTGTATTAAGATACTTTTTTAATTTTAATTTTTTATTTTGATAATGCTTTTCCTCTATAAAGGGAACAAGCACAGAAATAAAGAACTGACCATTTCTTGTTGCTGTCAGTTTATCTGTGATCCCAGTTGGCACTCTAGCACATATCACACTGGAAAAGTTTCAGATATTTAAATTTACATGTCCATGATAACAAATGAGGTTGAGTGCCTTTTCCCAAGGTTGAAAACCTTTTCATAATTTGACCAACTTCTGAAATTCCAACTCTATTTTAAGGTTTGGCTCTATGTCTTTTTGTTACTGATTTGTAGACACTTTAAAATATATTCTGGATGCCAGTACCTTTGTCCTGTGCCTCGTCCATGTCTTCATCTCCAGGGTGGACTGTCTCTTTCATTGCAGCCAGAGTGACCAGCTTCTGTCCTCCTGCAGCAGGCCCTGATAGGAAGTCATCCACTTCCCAACTCTCCAGTGTAATGTGGCTGTTACTGAATTTCCTGAATCTTTCAGCTCTTATGTTTTCAGAGGGGGCTGTAGGATATAGAAGCCCAGTTAGTCAAAAACAAAACAAAAACCTATACAAATAGGAAAACGTGGCCTTTCCCTGACAAATATCTTAAAATGAACCCTTTCGGATCAGTAGGACAGATTTTCTTCATGAGTTTACAGCTAACAAATACAGGTAAAGGTGTTACTTTTAGAGTATATTGCTTCATGTGATGCAAGTAAATCAGACATTTCCTCTGATAAGAGACTCTAAATCTGAAATATAGGCCAGGGGAAGAGAAAGAATCATGGGAGATGAATAATGCAATGAACAGGATGAGGGAACCCGTTATTTGAAACAAGAAACCCTCTGAGGAATCTTGTACAGTATCCATAACACAAGGAAAAGAATACTATGAAAAAGGAAAGAGAATAAGAATGTGTTCTCTGAAACTGAATTTTTGACAGCCAAAATAAAAATGTCACATAAGGCTAAAAGACAGTTGAAGCAGTCTTCTAGAACGTGTACAAGTAGAAAAAGAAAAGCACTATAAAAACATATGACTTAAAGGATCAGTCTGAAAGGTCCAATACCTAGTAGAATTTCCAGAAAGAAAAATTAGAAAAAAGTAGAAGAAATTATCAAAGATATAATAAACGAAAAGCTTCCAAAAATGAAGTTCCAAAATGCGTCCAGGCAGCAAATGAGCCTCCTGGCTGTACTGCCCAATCAATGACAAAAAATTATTCTAGGTCATATCCTTATAGAATATGAGAATTCTGGAGCTATGGTGACGCTACTAAGAATTCCTGGGTTTGAGGGTAAGGGGATAGGATAGGATCGAATGCAGTTACATGCCAAAAAACTAGGACTAGAGTCACTAACTTTAGATACTAGAAGATAATCCATTTGGAGGGTTGGCCATTTTCAGTTTAAAATTCTGTATACTGCCTGAGTAGAATCTATGTGAAAAAAGAAACCTAAATGTGTAAACGTTCATAAAATCTACTTCCCCATACCTTTTTATTAGTTACTGGAAAATCTGCTTCCATAAAGGGAATAAACTGAGAAAGAGAGTCATGGCTAGAATCAATAAAACAGTAAATCCAGTCCAGAGAAGTAAAAAGGGAAGCCCACGGATGACAGCTATTCAGCAGGCCTGGAGAGCAACCATTCCAAGACTGGACCAAGAGAATGGAAGACGGGGAGTGGGGGGAGGGATGAGTTGTTGAGTGTGTTTGGATATTTGGGGACAAATGATAGAAATAAGCAAAATTTGATGGACTGTTGAAGGAGGTAGAGAATTGTTCTTGCACGAGAGAAGAAACACTGTCACCACTTGGAAAGGAGAAGAACGGGAAGAGAGGGAGGACTGGCAAGAGTTGGGATTGCATCCACCATTACTCACTGCTGTTCTCTTGTTCATCTTTCCATGGGTATCTGTACCACACGCTCACCTGTTTTATAATAGTAGGGCCATGCTGCATTATGTTGTAGTTACTATTCTTATATATGTAATGGACATTTTATAGTCTCGGCATGATTTCAGCAGGTTATATGTTGAGTTAATTGAATGGATGGAACATAATTTATTAACCAAATCCCTGTTGCTATAATTAATTTGTTTATAATGATCCCTTGGGTTATATTACAGTAAAACAAAATAGTTCTCACTGTGAACACACAACATAGATGTTTGTGCTTCTCTCTCTCTTTTTCTTTCTTTCCTTCTTTCTTTCTGGTACTGGGGATCGAACTTGGGTCCTTGCACCTACGAGGCAGGCAGAGGCGCCACTGAGCTAAATCCCTGGCCCTGTGCTTCACATTCTTTTTTTTTTTTTTTTTTTGGTACCGGGGATTGAACTCGGGTCCTTGCCCTTGCAAGGCAGGCCACCGAACCACTGAGCTAAATCCCTGGCCCTGTGCTTCCCATTCTTTTTTTTTTTTTTTTGTACCGGGGATTGAACTCGGGTCCTTGCCCTTGCAAGGCAGGCCACCGAACCACTGAGCTAAATCCCTGGCCCTTCACATTCTTAATGTACAGTTTTGACCAAATAGCCTGTCTTGATTTAGGAGATTAAGCCAAGAAAAAACACATATAGGACAATATTTCTTCCTATCTGCTATTATGCTAATATTAGAAATAAATGATAAAACTCTCATCCATTGTGTAATAGCTATAGTTAAGCTATTTGAATAGCAGAGGCTGTTATTATGTACAAGGGTGTAAAATACATTAAAAACTACTGGCCTGTGAGTTCTGTGCAGGTAGGGAGTATTGCTTTTGTTCACTTAGTACCTGGGACACCATAAGCACTCCTTTGAGAACAAAAAAACTGGTACTAAGAAAGGCATTTTTTTTAGACTTGTGAAATTGAAAAAGTTAATAAAAATTATTTCTAAAAAAGGGTAAAGACACTTTACTTTGTAAAGAGCTAAATTAATCACAAATATTTACCTTCATTTCATTCTAGTATCTGATCAAAGGTATCCAGGGAGTGTTTGAGGGTCAGGAGGGAATGAGATATAGGTCCTTAGCTAACGAGAAATCTTGGTGAAGTGATGGAAAAGAATGGCAGGAGTGGGGCAGCTGGTGATGCAGACGGAGCTCTGGTCCTCTTGTCTAAGGTGGTGCCACTGGTCACGTGCTCCAGTTTGAAGTCGCTCACAGTTGCATTAAAAACGCAGTTCCCACCACAGTAACCACATTTCACGTGGTCGGCACGTGTGGCTAGCGGCCACGGTCTGGAAGAACACCCTTATCATCACCGGAAGTTTCTGTGCACCCCACCAGTTGAGAAGATGGCATCTATCTCCCCTGAGGATCCCTGAGTCCGAGCCCGAGAAGGAAGGTTGACATTGAGAAGGCTTCTGCGAACAAGGAACACTTCCTGTCTCTCAGCCCCTCTCACCTCCCACCAGTGAAACTGGCTCCCCTCAGAGCTCTCACTGCATTTCATATAAAACTGAATGAACAGCCAAGGCTCACCACGTAAGGACGTGTGAAAGAATTTGAGGAAAGTACAGAAACAAAGAGCTTAGAGCAAATGGAGGCAGTCAGAGGAGAAGAAAACTTCAGCGCTACGTACTGCCCTCCCAACTCAGAAAACATGCTGATAAATACCAGAACAGGGTGCTGTGAGAGAGACATGTTGAGAGACCAAAACAGACCCCCAGGCAAGTTAAAAATATTACCAAAATTAAGACTTTGCTAGAAGGGTAAGAGACAAAACTGAGGTGAATGGAGAAGGAAAACAGTCCCCCAAAAAGGTTAAAATTTTAGAACAAGAAAGATAAAGGCAAGTAACTTAGGACAGTGAAAACCAAGAAGTGGTTTCAACAGTACTGGAAGAGTTCCCAGAACTGAAGGATACTGTGAATTGAAAAAGACCCACATCGAGGCACATGAACAGAAAATACCTAAATCATCAGAAATAAACCAATTTTTAAAGCTTCCAGAGTTGCATACACACATGTACCCTACAAAGGAGGTAGACTCAAATTGACACAGACCTTCTCATCAGTAATAGCAGATGCTATATTTCAGGTTAGGAGAGCAGTGTCTTCTAGGTTCTTGGGGGAAATGCTCTTCAAGTTGCAGTTCTCTGGCTAGCCAAATACTGGTCATGTCTAAAGGTTAGAAAGAAGTCTTTCTCATATAGGCAGAGACTCCAGAAAATCTTGCTCAAGTGCAGTTTTCCTTAAGCATCAAGACCGGTCACCAAAGCAGCACGGGGCACCACGTGCCAGCCACTACAGAGGAACCAGACCAGCCTCTCTTCCCTCACTTTCCCTTCCTGCTTTGCCCTCCACAGTTCTCCACTGAACTGCTTCTGCCCAGGGGTCCGCATGGCCCCCTCCCGCCCTTTATCAAAGAATTCTTTCCGTGCACTACATGAATCAGTCCCCCGCCTTCACTGCACCGTCTGTCTGCTTGGCTTACTTTTTTTCTCAGCACTTTCTTGCCGTAAGTTCGGCTGTAACAGGTAGCTTTACTATCCTGTCCAGTGCCACATCTCCAGTGCCTAAAGCTGTGTCTGGCATGACAGTAGGTGCTCAATAATCTTTGAATGAATAACTGTGAAAAACATAATTAGTTTGACTTAAAAAGCAGTGGAACAACCCAAAAAGGCAACCAAGGGAAACTAAATTGCCTGTAGTCTAGGATAGAGCAGAAGGTCTAAGGATCCTAGAAGGGATTGTCAAGAAAAAAGTAGCTCAGAAGAGTTACCCGATGTGGATGCGCAATGGAGAAGCCAGTGAGATGGAGCGAAGGCCCCTTCAGGACATTCTGTTGTCCCAGGGACTGCGTGTGAGCTCGGCTTTCCGGCGTCCTGCGTCACACAGCCCTGGCACAGAGGGAAGGGGAATATGTGAGCACCAACGTGAGTGTGATACTCGTGTCCGTTCTGTCTTCTGAATGTTTGCCTTCTTTGTATTTTAAATATAGCTAATGCTTTCTACCTTGGGGCCCAAGAGATGATGACCATTGTGAAGAGAGATGATGACGTTGTAAAGGAACATTTATCTAAGGTAATCTCTTTTGGGCTGCAAGCAGCTAAGTAGGTGGGCAGAAAAGGTTAAAGCCTGTAAGATCTCATGGGTTTATGGATTCAGAGTCTACTCCACTTCAAATTAATGTTACCCTTGAAAGATGCGTAAAGTAAGCACAGCTGGTTCCATGGTTCCATGTACTTTGCTGTTTCATTGGCTCTTTTTTTTTTTTTTTTTTTCCTGGTACCAGGGATCGAACTCCGGTCCTCGTGCTTGCAAGGCAGGCAGCAGAACCACTGAGCTAAATCCCCAGCCCTCATTGAATTTATTTTTTAGAATTAGTACTTCTCTATTTTGACAGGGTATTGTACTGAGAAGACTCAATGATATTTATAGGACAAAGGAGTTCTGTTGAAACATAACATTGCATATGACCTGATGACTCATGGGCCTGCCTGTCTTATTCGCTGTCAAGTGGAGCAAGGCTGTTTTGCTGACACAGAGAACAGTTTTCTGAAATATTCAGCATTTGTGAGTTACACATATAAATACTTAATACACCTTGGTATGATAAAATGATCCCTTCCTAGCAGGCACAGGAACCCACAGTCTGCAGATATACACTTAGGTTCCCCACTGAGTTTAGAATCTCTTCATCACTTTGAGTCATTGGACTTAAACTTACCTGCAGTGTTAATTTATATTTCTGTGACCTCTCAATATAATTTCCTAACGCAAGAAATGTATAACTGCTTTTAAAAATATTTTCAGAATACAGTATTGAAAGTCTTCCCTCAGAGAGGACTTTGGAAAATGCCCATCTGTGTTTGTCTTCTGGCCACAGTAGTCACTGTATTTCTTAAATAGCAGTTGTCTATAGATAGGAGGCTTGAACCAGAAGGAAGCCCTCCCTCACTGGAGAGGGTTGGGGCCTCGGGAGAACCCTCTCCAAGGACTCTCAACTACTTCCAGACACTGGGGGATACTAAATGCAAGAAAATACTATTTTATTTCTCAGTAAAATATGTGAGTCTGTTTCAAAAATGCATTTAAGTTCTCCAACTTGGAAGTTCATAAAAACAGTTCAGCTCCCAGTTAATAACAAGACTGGCAAATGCTCACTTCCAGAATTCACACTTGCCAAATGACCAGACCCATCGTGTGTTAGAGCCCTCATACCACCTGTGGAAGCCAGCTGCTATAAAGTACTCATCAGTTCTGGATTATGTTTGTGTGCTGTACTCAGCAAGAGGTCAGAGAAAGGTGCTAACTTATTCCTGTGCTAGGTTAAATCCATATGCAAACGTAATCATTCCCAGATAGAGGTCTGTTCATAGTAACTGTGTCAGGGCTGTAATTTAACTGAAACTTTTATGGGCAAAATACAAGGTATAATGGTAGATGGCAGGCATTTCAAGGTTAATATTAACACACAGTCACAGGAATAAACTTTTTCCAATTCTGGGAGTAGTTTTGTTTCTGAGAGCATTAAAGGTACTTGTAGAATTTGGAGAAACAAAGCACTGTTGAGTTCAGTGGTACACAACTACCTTGTAGTACACTGATTATGCTTTCTATCAGCCAAGCTGGAACTCACCACTCAAGTAATATGATTCCAGTTTCTGAGTGAAACTAGGTGCAGAGAGAAAGGAAGTTTATTGCAACTTTTTGTTTCTATAATAAAAAAGGAAGCGTGCTGTAATTTAATATTGATAAAAGTTGAATCAACATAGTATGTCCTAGTCAGCTTAAGAAAATAAGGAAAGTTACCAAGGCATGTAGCTCTAGGAAGAGTGTGGGCATTGCCCATTCCTGCCTTCAAAAAGCACTGATAATTAGTCAAACTTGAAAACAATTCCTGAGATTAGAAGTGTTCTTATTTTAGGTATTCTGGTCACGGCTACTCTATCCCATTTCCCTCCAAATAAAGACATTCAGAAACGTCATACCTACCCAAGGCTATCCAGAATGAGGAATTTTGGAACCATACATTCTTACAAATGTTATTACACCTATCTCAGTTATTCTACATAAAACAGTTCTGAAAAATGTGTTTGTCTCATCTAGCCAGGAACCCACAGGAAAGTCAGTCTGAAAATAGTCTTTCTACTGTGTCATGAAAAGGCCTCTGATTCTCTCTTCCCCCTAGAAAACTGGCTTACTATAATCAGCAGGCTTTGATTCTAAACTCATATTTTTTTATATCATTGATGAAAATTACCTTTTGAATTCTGAAAAAAATCTATTAAGCTGATTTTCTTCTTTTGGAGGCCAAGAGTCTTTGCACCCTGTATCGGACAGTTGTGGCCAGTTGTGTTTCTTTGCTGTGCTTCAGTATTGGGTGGTTACTTCTCTTCCTTAGAGGAAACACGTGACACTCACATGTCTCCAGAGGAGTGCACCGTGGCTTGTGGCATCACAGGTTATGGCATTTCTCTGCCTGACTCAGCTCTACTTATCCTTTAAACTTGGCTCCAGGTATCCAGGAGGCCTTTCCCAGCCCCTGGTTTGGGAAAGATGCCCCTCCTCTTGGCCGTCATGGTTCCCGTGTAAAGTTATAACACTGCATTTGTCACAGGGTATTAAATGGTCGGCCTTCCCCTCTCCTCAGCTGTGAGGTGAGGAGCTGTTATTCAGCTCTCAGGATTCCCTGAGATACACAGTTCACAATACCTGACCAGCAGTCGGTAACTGTACAGGTAGATGGGCAGGTGCAGAGACTGATGGAGAAGGCTTCAGGGTGTAGATTCCAGAACTTCTGAGAGTGGATCTCTTTGGGTCTCTTGTAAAGTGTATGAACCCTTTCTCAGAAAAATGTTTAACCTGGTGTATAAAGATACAAAATCCCAGTAATGAATGTAACTGTACTGTCTACCTAGAATGTACCAATAAATTCAATTTTTAAAAAAGAAAAATGTTTAATACATATATACATGAGATTACAAAAGTCAATTATGTTGAAATACAATTATCTAAATATTTTTAAAACTAATTCATGATACAATAATATGTACATCCTTATTAATACATTAATAAGTAACAGAACTAGTGTTAATCTATAGTAGTGAGTATAATTAAATTTTACTTATTCACAACAAATTTACTAGACTCAAAAATATTCATAATTTTATAGATGATAAAACATAAGCATTACTAATTATATGGCTTGTTGTTGCCTGTATTGACAACTGAAGGAAATATTAAATGACATTATAGTTTAGCATTAACAAAAATAAAGATGTATTTCCCCCAAGTTACGTAGCTCTCACCCTGTCCCATGGACCTGCGTGGGAATGCAGACCCCGAGGTTGGGCAGCTGGTGCAGCAGCTTGGGCACTGGCCTCAGAGCAAGCCATGAGAAACTGCAGGAAGAAATTCAGTTGCTCAGGAGCCACCGGAGGGTTTAAGCAAAGGGATAACAACCAGGGTGATACTCCAAATGTTTATAGCAACTGACTAACTAGCACAGCCAGTTCAGAGGTACACACTCACGATAGCCCTGAGAATATGGTGAAATTAACAAAGGAGAAGCATTATTTGGGGGGAAAGGTGTGGTAGAATATTGGGAAATCATGAAGTTTTAGGAGAAAGTCTACACTGTTCACACGGCCTTTATAAGAATGAAAGGAGTGGCATTGGAAATGGAACGATTTAGGAGGTAGAATCGAAGGTCTTTGTACAGACAAGGGAAGAGGCGGGGATGGAGGAATCTAAGGCTGTTTCTCTGTGTTTGGATTTGGTGATAAGGAGAGAAGCATCCATGAGTTGTGGGCAGTTTAGAGAAAGTGCTTCATTTCAGCACAGTACTTGTGTTGGGATACCCGCGGGATGTCTAAATGAATATGTGTTTGGAAGGTCACTGGGTGGATGGAGTAAAGCTTAAAAGAGAAGTCAGGGCTCAGTTTGGATTTGAATGTGGCAGGCAGACAGATACAGCCACGAGCATGGAGAGTAGCAAACTACAGATTATAAGGAGAGATGTCAAAGGAGTGATCCTTGGAAAATCTGACTTAAAGGTTTGGGAGGAAAGGAAGAGCCAGTGAAAAGATGAGAAATGAGGGAAATGGGTGTATATGAGAACCAGGACAGACTAAAGCAAGGGAAGAGCTCAACTGCACGTCGTCACCACTCCAATCTCAATATTTGTCGGGGGTCTCTGGGTGCTGCTGTGCTTATCAGGCAGCCAGTGTGTCCAAGGCCACCGGGAGGTCAGCATCCTTGTGCTGCCACTGTTGGAAACTATAAGGGGATACAGGTCCCACTCATAGAAAAATGGATTCATGTCTGGTTATGAAGTTGAAGTTTTAATTTGAAACTCACTTAGGGAAATTCTGAACTGCTGTGACCATCTGTGGCTGAGGCTTATGGAAACAGCTGGTGTGCGCTCCTTCCAGACTGCATCTGAGCATCATTGACAGCCCATAGGAGGCTGAACTGTTCACAGAGAGAGCAAGTGACGTGGAAGGTGGGCTGTGCCGCGTCTGCCACGGCTTTCTCCCCATCCTCCTTGGCTTGCCTTAGCCAGGGGTGCTTGCTGCTTGGGGACAGCTCTCATGGTGCCCTTTGCGGAATGGGCATGCAGATCCTCCTGACGTGCACACATCCTGCTTGCCGAAGTGAGGGAAGTGCTCCATGGGCTGGCTGACCAGAACTGCCGTTCCTCCAACCCTCGATCTGAAATGGCCTGTGTTAGTTCTGCCGGTTGAACTTGAAGCCTGTCTTGAGTATCACAGTCATCCTGGAAACAGATAGGCTTGTTTTTATCTTGACCATTTTGACCTTGAGCGTTTGATCCGTGGCAGTTGTGTTAACACACCCTTGAGTTCTTCAGTGGAGCCTGATTAAAAGGTGAGTGTTGGAGAGCAGAGACCTCAGTGTCACAGCCTAGGTTCAAGCTCCAGCTCTGCCACTTGCTTAGTTATGTGACCTTAAGCTACTCACCTCACTGCGCGTCCTTTTCCATCAGTAGAGTTAGTTTGATACTAGGACCTGTTCTCCTGTAGTCATTCCAAAAGTATAATCCTGTGATTCAGACTGCA